CCCCCCCTCCGCCCCCCCCCCCAGCCCCTCCCAGGTCTCACTGTCAGGGAGCTTGCAGGGCTTATTCCAGCTGTAGCCTGTCTTTTAGCCACCTTTCCCACCCTGATGGTGCACTCCCTGCTGCTGCAGCTAAAATACAGCGCAAGGCTGAAACGGAATACCCCTAAGGTGCCATGAGTGCTGTTCCTGGCCACAGGTTAAAATTTCTCTTCTGGCCACATTCCAGAGACCTGAGCTTCACCAAGACAGTGAGAAGGTGTTCTGGAGGAAGGCAGTATGCATGCAGCATCGCTTGTACTCCTTCGCAGTGTGTCAGGCCCAAGATTACACAACTACTTCCAGGCCATCATGTATAGCCTTTTTAAATTTACTTTTTTTGCATCAGAAATGTTCTTAGGACACAAACATTTCTTAAATTAAAGTTTTTCCTTCAGGGACCTTTGCTACACTTTGCTCTCTGCTGACTCTGTAGCAAGAGACATCACAAGTGTGGACCCGTTCTGTTAGGAAGTCCAAGTGTTTTGATTAAGTCTTTCTTGTAGCTTTCATTACCCACCCCTAACATACGCTCAGCATGAGCGCACGCGCGTGCACACACGCACACACTGTGTGCACCAGTGTAAGCCCTCCAACCTGCGGGACGAAGCAGGACAGGTATCCTGGAAACATCCCATATTTCATTCAAGTCCTCTTCTTATGTGGTTGTGAGAGGAACTTATGGCCTTCTGTGAGAGGAACTTTGGCTCTTAACAAACCACTGTTGCCCCACTGTGAGCTGCACACCTGCCTTGGGAACACCCTTGGGAGGGGATCACCAAGACTGTGCAGCTCCTGGGGAGCTGACCTCTAGACCTCTGCACCTCTGGGGAGTCACAGATTCACCCTCTAAAAGTCTGTCTTTCTTACAGTTCCAACACTGGTGCTAGCAGGGCTCTGCAGCGCCATGGCTTGTTTCTACGTCATCTTTTTCAATACTGACTACAAGCGGCTCCATGCTGAGAACAACAGTGGCACTTTGGTCAATGGAGAAGATACAGCAGCAGCAACTGTTCCTGAAGCCTAACCATGTTGAAAAGGACACACCAAGGGCCGATTATGGAAAGATTCAGGTCTGTGGGCAGGGGTTGCGACTGTGAGTGCTCCCCTGGAACACTGGGATGTTTGGGTGCTGTTGCACAGCAGGCAGCCTGGATAGCACAAGGAAAGGGCTAGAGCAGAGCTAGTGGGGTACCCTTTTTGAGCTTCCCCAACTTTGGCATTTATTTCTGAAGCTGGGCTGTAAGGTACAGGGTGGTTGTGAGGCCAGAAAGGTCAGAGGGGAATGGACAACTACAGAATAACAGGTATTTTCGGCTGCCTTGATTCAAGCTAAAGGAATGTGGCAGAGGAGAAGAGCATCATACTTTAGCCGTTTTTTTCATTTTCATGTGCTTCAACCTAGGGTGAAGCTTTCAGAGGGATGTAAGGCATGCCTATCACAAAGCTGTCAGAAAAGCTTGCAAGTACTGCAGTTCCTGTATGCCCTCTAAGCTGGAGCTAATTGTGCCTCTTCCTTGGCTAAAGGGTGGCAGGAGCTAGAGCATCTTTCTGCTGCAGGAAGGAGGCATAGGCATGTGATCTGCAGTATGAGTCTGTTACAATGAGCCACATCGTCCTCTCCTACAAATGGGAAAAGGAAAGCTCTGCCTGCAGAGCTGACCATAAAAAAAGAAATCAGTAAGCAAAAAATATTAAACGTAGCAGCCTTCCTTGCCATTTCTAGTCCCTTGCCAAATGTTGAGACATTCAGGATCAGTTTGTTTTCCCTTGCATTCCTGTTGTCTCACCATCTCTCCTGCTATCCCAGTGGTTCAAAATTTCCACAAGACGATGAACCTGCCATTGTAAGATCACAGCTGTGTACCCTCCCTAGGCCAAGACTTGTGCTCTTCTACAGGGGAACACTGAGGGAGCTTACTTTCTGGAAAATGACACAACAGCGCCTTGAGGGAAAGGTGGCAAGAAAATAGGCACTTAAAGAGTGCAGGGAGTCTTTACAAGTTTCTGCAAATGATATGAGTTGTTTTGAGGAAGGTCAAGTTAGGAGCAACACCACACAGGCATCTTCCAGTTCCCAGTGCAATTGATAGCTGTCCTTCAGCGTTTGAAGAGATGGGTGCACAAAAGAACCCCTTTGGAGTTCAGTTACCATAAAAAATGCAAAGGGTATAGGTGGGCTTTTCTGCCTTCTACAAACAGCAATACTTGCACAGCAATCCACTGTCCTGCTCTGTTATTCAAGTCTAGGTATACAGCCTGAGCGCTTGTTCTCCTATGGCATTTCAGTGCAAGAGGAAATAAGATAGGTAAGGCTGAGTGAGGCTTTGTATCATGCAGTTTGCAAGGAGATCTCAGCACTTTTATTAATCAAGGGAAATTGTTGAAAATTTGAGCTCTGAAGATAAAGTGACTAACTTTCTCCAGTCTAGCTAGAACATTACCAAAGTGAAGGATGCATTTTTTCCTGCGGAAACCTATAAAGAGGAGCTCTCTCACTGCCTGGAGTCTCTTTCCCATCCACGACTGGAAAGCTCTTCCTCTAGAAGACACCTAGCTGCATTGTCCTACAGAAGCCTGCCAGTTCCTACAGCTGCAGCCCTGCTGTCACCGTCAATCACTGATTTCCATCTAAAGGAGCAGAAAGGAAGAGGAATTCAAAAAAAGCGAACTGTGACGTATCAGAGGAGTTGGATTTGCTGTCTTTTTCAAAACTAGCTTATCAGCTGAGCCCCTCCCTGCAACACTGGACCTAATGCTGTGGACAGATTAATACTAAATTTACCTGTAATTCCTGAGTCCTACTGTACCAGGAAGCAGAAAGAACTTGGTGTTTGATGATTTTATATCTCTGCAGGCACTTCTGTTTTTTTAATAAAGGGCAATTTAAGAAAAGATTCAGCTCTTCTCACTCGTTGAATATTAAAAGAGTATTTTAGAGATGCGAAGGTGCATCAGGCCAGCTATGCAGCCCAAGGCAAAAGTCAGTGTTCTCTCAACATCTCCCAATGTTCTCCCAATGGTCTCCCAATGTCCATGAAGTGATATTCAAAATAATGAGGGTAAGTGGTATTTCAGATACCTCAAAGGCAGGGTGATATGAGCTGTAGGTTACACCAGTGTTAGCTCTATTTTGAATGACACATTTCTAGGCTAAAGGAGAGAGGAAGAACACTGCTAGAAAGTCCCTCCAAAAATCTGCAAATTTCCTGGTTAGAAGGTCGGCTTTGCCCCAGCTAAGGCACTTTCATCTTTATCTAAGCATTTAAAGCAAGAGATTTAAAAGGGGAAATTTTCTTTAACCCAGTACATCAGACATAACAATTTATAAGGAGGTGCCTCAGGGATAGAGCCTTTGCCAGAGGCTGGCGAGAGCAGAAGGGTCTTGACGTGCTGGCAGCATCCAGGGAGGGGGTGGCCTGTGCACGGGCAGCTAGGCAGAGCCCGCGGCTGGGGCTCGGGGGCCGAGGGGGCTGCACTGCCGCAAGGCGCGCGGCTTCCCCAAGATGGAGGGCGGTTGCATGCGGGCTCTGCGGCTGGACACAACTTACAGGCTGGCCCCCTGAAGCGCCGGGGGGGGCCTTGGGCGCCCG